ATTTACCTAGCCTGGATTTCATATCTAGAAAAAATATTAAAAAACAATAACAAAGTAAAACATAAAAACCTCAATTGAAAATAAAGCAGAACATATTATAATCTAGAAAAAATGTAAATGGATCATTAGGGAGAACAAATGACAGCGTGGCAAATTGTAACCCAGCTGCGCCTGTAACAATCACATAAGTAGTTTGTTTTTGTTTTTTTAAGATCAAATCATTTCTCTTAGTTCTGTGCTTCAGTACTTAGAGCCTCAGTTTTTCTATACCACCTTCATGCATACAAGGGAAGCCCCTGACAGCTTTGCTATGTCTTAGTTTTTCCACCAAACTACCATCCTTTTTGTTTTTCTCATGGGTAATTCCTTTGCTTGAACAATCTCTTGCACTTTTATTTATTAACACGAGACCTTTTGAATCATTCGTAATCTACCTCCTAACTCGGCCTTGCTGAAGCGACTGTCAAAGTAACTAATAGTAATCTTTCAGTGATTAATTCAGTTAGTGTTAATTGGTATTCTCTATTTGATCTCTAGATTCTAATCTCCTTTGCAATGGCTACATAGAACTCACAGACAAAATTCATGATTAAAGGGTTTATTAAGGAAGTTAACACGTTGTAATGCTGGTAAAAAATGGTCAGGGTTGACTTGATTATCAGGACATTAGAAAAGTCTCTCAGAACTGCTAATAAATGCCTAAAAGGCCTACCATTCTGCTGTGAGCCTTGTAAACCTCAACCTTAAGGAATTCAGCTTAAGCTTTGAGGGTCAGCAAAGTCAGCTCCCTGAATTAAGTGCCAGAGGCACCCTATTCTGCAAACTAGCCTTCTGCACAAAAGCACTCCGCTTAACTTGCTCTGTGGGTTGGGAAGCCCATCACGCTGTTCCGTGCTCTGGCTCCTGGTTCTGCTGCTGCTCCTCTGATGTAGCTGTCTTCTGGAGCCAAGAGGCTCACTGCACAAGGGTCTTGTGCCCCAAGGATGTGCTCCACTCTGGCTTTGCTGGTGATAAGATCCCTCCTGCTTCTCGGGAACACAGCAGGATGGCACTGCAGAGATTCCTATTCACAGTTACAAGTGAATCCTATCAGTACCCCCCACCCCCAAACCCTCTTACCAGACCCATGAAGGTAAAAGGTCGTTTGGTGGGAGTTAGACACTTTGACCAAAAGAGCCGTATTGAATAATTCACTGGTATTTACTCCTCATTCATCTCTGGCAGTTGTTCTGCATTAAGATAATGGTGACCAAAAAAGGATCATGGTGACCACTCCCTCTTTCATGAAGGATATAATGTTGTTATCATGCCATTAAAATCTTATTTAGAACCAGAAATGATCCATTAGGCCATATAATTAAACGTTTATCTGATAAAGGCACTTTGGTGGCACAGTGGTGTACACATTGAGCTGCTTCCTGTAAGGTCAGCTGTTTGAGCCAACCATGTGCTCTGCAGGCGAAAGATGAGCCAATCTGCTTCCATAAAGATTTACAGTCTGAGAAACCTGTTGAGCAGCTCTGTGCTGCACTATAGGGTCTCTCTCAGAATCTGCGGTGGGCTTGGTGGATTTTTATCTGATAATGTGTCCTTTTTGCAAAAACTTTAACAAGTTTTTTTTTGGTATTATCTTGAACACTTTCATGACTTGAAATTAGTTTCTTCACATTAATCATAAACAAAGCAAGCTTGCGCTCTGCTGCCACAGGTGCCGCTTGCTGCTGCTCCTCCCCAGCCATGGCGTTCTCGTTCGCGGCCTTCTGCTCCATGCTGACGCTGCTGCTCACCGCCGCGCTGGTCTTTTTCACCGTCTGGCACTTTATAGCGTTGGAGGGACTGAAGACTGATTACAAGAACCCTGTAGGCCAGTGTAATACGCTGAATCCTCTTGCACCCCCAGAGCCCCCATCCATGCTTTCTTCTGTCATGTTTCTTTGTGCAGCAGAGTGCCTTACACTCTTGGCATGTCATATTTGGAGGTGTAGGAGTAGACCGGTGACTCTGTGACCCCACCACCATCATGAATGCAGACATTCTCGCATATTGTCGTAAAGAAGATGGTGCAAGTTAGCTTTGTATCTCCTAGCCTTTTTTCGGCATCATCCTATGTCCTGCTGAGCTCGTAGGCAGACCCACAGAAGAGCTGGTTCAGTTCAGTGCGTGCAGAAGCCATTGCACGAGGGGATTCTACAGAGCAAGATCCTGTTTCCGAGAGGAGCCGATGGAATCTGATCAGTTACTTAAAAAAAAAAAGACTCCTTATTTTTTAAATGTTTCCACATTTTTTGCTTGTGGAAAGACTGTTTTCATATGTTATACTCAGATAAAGCATTTAAATGGAATTACATATCAAATAACATAAAATGATTACCTCTGGTGTCGACAGGTGTGAACTTGTAGTCCTTAAGGAACAGCCGTTCTCCTCGGAATGATTGCATTGATTTCTGACTGCCCTTAGTCCACTGGAAGCTTTTGTTTGTAGAAACATGTAGGACGCCTTTGGTTTTATTGAAATGCCATCTAATTATCAGTGAGCTGTAGACATCAGGTGCTTCTGACGAGCTGAACACGTGTCTGACCACAGGGAAACTTCATGCATTTCCTCTTCTATCATGTAGGTGATTGATAACACATGGATACTTTTACAAAACAAGAGTGGGATTTTTCCCCCACCTCCTCCTTGAGTATTATCCCTGTATATTGCATGAATGAGAGATTGCCCATACTTTCATCAGAGTAATATACTTGCTTTAATTCTTAAGCATAAGTGAATATGGTCTAAAAAAAAAAAGTATACTAATTACTTGTGAAGGATACATTTAAAGTTGTTTTAAATGTGTTATTATTTGTAAGACATTACCTACTAAGAAATTGGTTATCAGTATTGTAATCTGGTGGCAAAAATCCTTAAGAATTTGCAAGTACTGTAGCTTCTCCAAACGGAGTGAGAGAGAACATTTCATAACCGGTCTGCTGTTCCTTTAGTACAATACAATAAAACTCTGAAATAAAAACAAACAAAAAACAAGTTTGCCTGAGTAAAAGGGGCTCACAGTGCACAAAAGAAAATGTAGTGTTTTCATTTTCTGTGGTTGTATAACATGTTATCACAAGTTTAGCAGCTTAAAGCAGCACCCTGT